TATATGTTTAGGCAAGTCTTATGAGGCCATTGTGAAGATTAGGGCAACTTGGTTCAGACCAATCTTGAAATTCAGGCAACCTGCATAGGAGATTAAGTGCTGAATGAATAAACTATTATGCAGGTACGAGGGTTAAAGGTGAAGAAAGCAGGGCTTAATCAACGTTGCTCAGTGGATAGGTATCCAGCAAGCATGCATAAGTGTGTGTTGAGCTGTGTGTTGCTACACTGGACCATGTGAATACAGGCCTAATAGAAGATGAGGCATCATGCCTTGAGATTTTAATGGAAGTGGCTTAAAATTCCAGCTCACATGTAATGGGAATAGCACATATCTCTTCCTATCTCTCTGGGAATTCTGAGTATGATTTATATTTTTCCATGTCATCTCTGTCTCCAAACTTCTGTTCCTGTTGAATTACAAGGGTACTTCAGAAAGTTCACAGAAAAATATAACTAAAAAATAATACAAATCTTTCCATGAACTTTTGGAAGTATGCTCATATTTCATTTGTGGATTGTCCTGCTGCCCAGCATTCAGTTCCTGTCTATACAATGTTGCAACAGAGAGGAACAAGAGGCCCATTCCTTCACATTCCTCACAAAACTTCACCGGCATAATGTTTTTGAGTATGCAATGGTTGGAAGCAGTATTGGGGCATTATGCTACATTATCACAGAGCACAGAGCCATAAATCTTTTAGCTGTTAACCCTCTTCTTAACAGCACTTCGACTGACCTCACTCCATCACCTATTTCAGTCAAAGTTCTTTGTTGCAGGGAATAACCACAGAAGTTTTGGCTAATTTAAGCAGGAAAGGAACTTATTAAAATTTGTTGGGTAGATAGCTCACAGAATCTCAAAAAGTACTGAAGAGCCAGGTTGGAAGTCTCTGTCTATAGGACCAACACACGAAATCATGCTGCAGAACTTGTCCAGCAGAGAAGCTCAGCCGCCATCACTGGCACTGACTTACATCACAGCTTGCACAATCGACAGCAGTGAACATTGCAGCTGTAACTGATGCATGGCTGCAGCTGTTGTTGTATCCTCCCCAGCCCCCGTTTTATGGCATCATTAATCTCTATTCAAAATTTAGGGTGGGTGCATCTCAGTAGTGGTGTGTAGGTAACATGTCCAGGCTCTAGCTACAAGAGGCTGGAAAGTAGTTTCTTTACTTGTAAGGTGGGGGATTTGAAATCCAGGAAGGCAAGTTGTTTTTGACAGATGTTCTCTATGGAAATGCTTCCTTAACTTCGATGTGCATGTGAGCCATTTGGAGATCTTGTTAAAATGCAGATTTTGATTCAGTAGGTCCAGGATGGGGCCTGAAATTCTACAGCACCCGGGTGATATGAAGCTGCTGGTCTGAGGATCACATTTTGAGTAACAAGTCTCTATAGCATCAGTTTTGAAACTTGGCTACATATTGAAGTAACGAGAAACATTTTTTTAAAAAATACTTGGGTCTTGCCCTTAGCTGATTTAATTGATCTGGGGTAAAACGTGGGTATAAAAAGTATTAAAAACTCCCCAGATGATTCTAATGCACTGCAGGCTCCAACTTCTTGTCACTACACAAGATTTTTTCTTTTCTTCAAATGCCAAGATTTCCACTTTCCCTGCCTTGCTTGGTCCCCGCCCGCCCCGAAATGCAATTACTCTTATTTATTATGCAGAACAATCTGACACTCTACCCCATAGTCCCTTGGGCATAACTTTGCATATCTAAAGACTAAAGAGTTTTCCCAAATGTATGGTACCTGTTACCCTAAGAGAGAGTGATTTGAAGTGATGCATGGACAAACATTGGTGTTTTGTTTTGTTTTTTTCTGGCAGCTGGCTGGTTCAGGAAAAGCTGGACCTTGATGTTATCAGCACCATGCTCTATCTAATCAACTGAGCTAACCAGCCAGCCTTGTTATTTTACATTTTAATAGTTTTATATTTAATGTGCATTGCTGAAAACTGTAACTAACATAGTAAATCTGATTTCACAAATATTGCGACAAAACAAATATTATAGGACAAAAACAAATCAATTTTTTAAAATAGGTAAATAATAATACAGAAATTCAGGGCAGATACAACAAAATTCATGGAAATGGTTTGCAAATGAATAAAGTTCAAGAGTGCCTATACTAACTGAAGCCTTCTATCCAAAGTCCTAGGCTTTGGTAGCACAGTATTGGCAGAGGTGTTAAAACATATCAGCCTTTTTTCTTCTCCCTCCCCTATTAGCGTCTGGATGATAAGGAAGCAATATAGGGATTTATTTCCGCACTACTAGTTTTAACACATTGAAATGGTTACAGTCAATTTTGATCTTAAATAACAATTCTTTTTCTATTAAGGAAAGATTTCAAAAGGTTTCATGAAAACACCACCAACCTTTGAAAAATTCATGATCTAAAGGAAAATAACTATAAGAATAACTTATGGAATATGAACTATGAAAAACAGGTTAAATTCCTAAACCAGCTAATCTTTGACAAGAAAATGGGTGAAATTTTTTAAAATTGTTGAGAGCTAATACACAAAGCCTAAGCAGGAGAAATTTTTTAAACTCCACATCTAGTCACATCATTGTGAAACTTCAGAACACCAAAGAAAAATAGATCTTAAACAGCAATTAGATGGACAGCAGATTTATCAGTAGCATTAGAAACCAAAAGATAACAGAATAATATGTTCAATATTCTGAGAGAGAGAAACCTGTAAACCTAGAATTAAAAATTCTGTAGAATTATCTAGAAGGAACAAGGGCAAAATAAAAACATTTCAAGTGAAAAAAAACAAACAAACCAAAAACCTGAGAGTTTAACCACATCACACTCTCTCACTCAAGGAAATTCTAAAGAATTTACTACAGGCACAAAGAAAATAATTTAGAAGGAAGAGCTGAGATATGTGAAGAAATGGTAAGCAAAATGTTGTTTTATATGTGGGTGGGTCTAAAAAACATGATGTCTAATTTGTAGGAGGAAAACATGATAGAACCAAAAGAACCAAAACAATGAATAATAACTTTTAAATGGGGGGGGGGGTATGGAGTTAAAACATCCTAAAGCCTTTGAATTATTCAAGAGGAAAGAGATTTATTAGCTTCATATTTTAAGTTTACATGTCAAAATAGTAAAACCACTTAAAAATACAGTGTGACACTCCAAGTAAGATGACAGAAAAAATGATGTGAGAAAAAGAAAACACATACACACAAAAGAAGCTTCTCCTGTAAGTTTTTGACATTTTAACCTTCCTTTGTTGTATGCCGTTCTCATTGATGATAGTGTTTGATGATGGTCTATTGTAAGTTTATTTTTAAAGGGTCCTTTTCTTATAAGAATCCTTTCCAACCTAGGTTGTGGAAACGTCCCTCCAAGTTGGTTTCATGTTTGTTTCTGCCAGGCATTTCAGATGCATAATGTCTGGGATCTTTTTGTGAGGAGGGTATCTGGGGGTGGTGGACCAATTTCTTGGCTTTGAGATTCCGATAACACATAAGTGCTATAAATTTAAACTCCGAACTTTTACTAAATGAAGGTGTAGTGTTTCAAAATTTAATCAGAGTTAAATAATTTTTTTCTTTTCATCCAGAGATGGGACAAGCTTCCTCAACTGCTTGTCCATGTGTGTTTTACATTTTCCCTGGGCCTCCCTTTTCCTGAGGATGATGGTTTTCAGTGACAATGGCTTTTTGCAGGGACTCAGTTCCAGTTCTGAGCTACTCCAATCCCTTACCTCCTGTTCCTATACATCCAAGCCTCAAAACTCAGAAATTAACAGCACCTTGCCCACACCTAGGATTACCAACTGTCCTGGTTTGTTTGGAACTAGGGGTTTCTCATGAAAGTCCTGGACAAACTAGTATGACTGGTCACCCTACAACCCAGCCCCCAGACCCGGCCAGAGAAGAATCAGTTCACCAAGTCACCTGTCTAGTTTTCAGTTTATTTACATTTTTGGTACCTTGGGATTTCCTTTCATCTCTTAATGCTTTAGCTGCATATTAAAAATAAAGTTAGTTATTTTTTCTAGCATTATTAGGTGTTGGTAATGAGTTTTCACATTATGCAAGTCCACCATTTTGCCAGCTCAAAAAGTAAGTTTAATGCTTTTCATCAGTACAAAAGAGAAGTTTGGGGATAAAAGTCATAACCAGTTACCCCTGTGGTATAAGGTGACTGAAGTGGTTCCTAAAGTGTGACTGACTCCACCAACTGCCTCACAGCTTGCCCTTCCTCTAAGCCCTGTTTCTCTGACCTTGAGAATGTTCTAGAATTCTCTAGGCAGGCCTAGCTGCTGCTTTTAAGGCCTTGAAGAGAAATTCTCCCACCAAAATTTAAACTCCCCAAGGGAAGAAATGTTCTCTTACTTTCTTCACTCCTGCATCTTGTGGTACCTGGCAATCGTGGCACTGGATAACTTTCTTGATGGATACAGGTCCTGAACGCGGAGCAGGCCAGCCAGCTGGCATTTCCTCCAATCCAAAGCCATCTACCTCAAGCTTCACAGAAAGTCCTCATAGTTTTTGTCCTTTTAATGTTTCCTTTCCTGTTTTCTATAGATTTGTTCCTATTTTCTATTTCTGTAGGCGTTTTTATAGATTTGGTGGCGGGCGATGGAGCTTATCGTGATCAGGCTAATCCTGTGCGTTCAAGACGCCATTTTGAAACTAGAGCATAGATATATTAGAGTTTTTTCACTTTAACATATATTTAAGTATGCACACTTATTTCACAGGTGCTGCAAAGGCATTTTTGAGGTGACGTGTGTCCGTGGGTCTGTCTATCCGTCTGTGTGAGGGCGGCGGCTGTATGGCACAAGGCACCGGCCCGCGCGCACCCCCTGCACACCCCCTGCTGGGGGCACCGTCGTCCCCCCCGAACCCCCCCGTGCAGGGGGCGGGGGCGCTGTCACCCATTGGCTGAGGCAGATACCTCGAGCCCGGGTACCCGGCTTTGGAGCTATCTCTGGGAGCCCCGCGGGCCACGCCTCAGACCGCCTGAGCCCGTCAGCCTGGCCGCCGGTCTTTCCGTGCTCCTCAGCGTCTCCCACCCTTTCATTTTCCTTTTACCTCGGCCTGTGGCAGCTCTGTCCAGTCGCAGCCGGGCAGCGGGCACTTGCTGCCCTAACGGCAGCCCATAGAGCTGTGCTAGAAGCGGCCTTTGCTCCTCCTCGAGCCTTATCGGCGCGAACTGCTAGCTGCCGCCATCATGGTGAGTTGAGGGGGAAGGCCTGAGGGGCGCAAGGACTGTGGGGTCGTTAGGGGTGGGCAAAACTCGGCTTTTGGGGTGCGGCGTGGGGGGCTGAAAGTGGGTTCACCCCGATTTTCCTATTCTGAGGCGACTGCTTGGATGCACCTCAGGCCGTGGCTTGTAGGGTGGGGGGAAGCCGGCATGGGGGGAAAGTGGCCTGGCAGCTGTGGGGCCTACAAGGCACAGAGGGGCCGGTGAGGAGGTGTCAAAATGCCCGGGGGTAGCGGGTTGTCAAGTCAGGGGTGCGGCCCAGGGGACCCCGCTGTGTTTGCCTGCCCGCCGCGGGCGGGCCACGTGAAGGGCCCCGCGGCCTTCATGCCGCCCGTTTCCCGCCTCAGAGCTGACCAGGCTGTGACGAATGGGCCCGGTTCTCCGCATGGCCGCGTTTGGGGTGCGGGGCACCCCACTGTCATCTCCCAGCCCCGCGAGCGCCTCCTTCCCGCGCTTCCCCGTGGAGCCGGGAGGCCGCGGCCTCCGCGAGATGGCGTCGGGCCTGAGGCGCCAAACGCCGCCTGGGGCTGCCCTGCTGAGGCGACTCGTTTACTTGGCCTTGGCGGGCCGAGCGTCCTCGGGAAGTGGTTCTCTCCCCGCCGACGTGAGGGGTGGGATCAGCGGGTTGGATGGCGGGCCTTTGTGTGGCGTGTGCATGTGGGGCATGGGGCGAGAGGAGCCGTCGATAAAGGCGTCGCGAAAGCGCGGCCCGCGAGCTGAGGGGGAGCCAGGGCTGAAGGCCCTTTGTGGTGGCTTCTCGCGCCTCCCAGCCACCGGTGACCTGCTGATGGTGGCTCCCTTCTGGCGTGACGTCCGGCACTAAAACTCACTTGCCGCTGTCGTTGCGGCAGGAGGTTGGATTCAGTAGTTGTACTTGAGAATTTTAGAATTTTTTTTTTTAATTCGGGGAGCACTTTTTTCCTTCTGGATAAACCAGGAACTTTTAACAAAACATACGTTTCGTTGTCTTTTTGATGTTTATGTGAGTTTTGATAAATGCGTGTAGTTCACCACCACTAGATACAACTCTGTGAATACGTTGAGCAACCGTTAGGTCACAGACGTGTGTATTATATACTGTGTGGGTTCGTTTATATTATAATAATTCTTAATCTCCATTTTTAGTAGTAAAGGGAGGAAATCTATACTCATATTATTACAAGGAAATAATAAAATAAAAATTGTAATTATTTTATGTAAATAACTATTATTTGTAGTAATTATTTGCATAACATGTAGTTACCCATGTAAGTTATTTAATAATCACCATGAGTTATAAGTAATAATTATTTACATTTTTTCTCTCCATTTTTAGATTTAAAGAGGGGAAATACTACTAGCTTTGAATTTTCTGATTACAAAAGTAGCATATTTAGTCATTAGAAAATAATCATTGTAAGAAAATAGAGATGGATCTTAATCTCAAACCCTATAACCACTGTTAAATTTTATGTGTCTGTCCTTCTAGGTTATTTTTATCTATATATAGGTGAATTTTATTTTCTAAAAGTTGTACCATGCTGTATAATACTATCTTATAACCTGCATCTTTCAATTAATTCCACATTATTCCAAAGATAAATTTAAAGTAATTTTGCATATATCATGTTAAAATTTGTGCCATTACTTATTTTTACCAGATTACCTTATCATGAATAATTTTTCAATATTAAAACAATACTATAATGAATATTCTTGTGCAAACATCTTGGCCTGGTTATGCTATTAATTCCTTGAGATAAATTGCCAGAAGTAGAATTTCTGGATGAAAGGGCTATGCACCTTTTACAACAATTTCATCTTTCCAAGCTGCTCTTGGTAAAGCATGTACCAGTTTATTTTCCCACTGATGGTGTGTACAATGATCTGTTCTCTACACCCTTTCCAGTGAGAGGTATTATAATTTTATAAGTTGCCAGCTTAATAGCTGGAAAATATTTCACTATGAGGTGTGTGTGTGTGTTTAACCATTCAGGAAGATATAAAGTTTATCATTGATTGTTAGCTTTTTGGATTTCTTGTTTAGAAATTCTTAGTGTATCTCTATATTTGTAATTTTTTTTCTTATTGATTCATAAAAACTCTATTAATATTAACCCTTTTTCGTATGTAGTAGAATGGTGGCGATAAGGAGATGCCCTTTACCATATTCCTAATTTCAGTGGAAATGACTTTAGTGTTTCACTTTAAGCTTAGAGGATAGAAAATAAGATTCTTCTATTTTTATTTTGCCTGGGTTTTTTAAAATTAAAAAACGTGTGCTGTATTTATCAAATGTTTTTTCAGTGATGAATTTCAATGAACCATCCTGCATTTCCAATATTAACTATACTTAATTGTGGGTTTTTTTATATATTGCTGGAATTTTGCATCTGTGTTGAGGGCAGGGGTAGACCATCTTGATGAGGCTTTGTTATTTAGATGGTGTTAGCTTTGTAAAATGTGTTGAGAAATATTCTTTTTTCCTCTTTTCTCTGAAAATTTTTTAAGAAAAGTGAATCGATCTTTCTCCTTCTTTGCCTCTTCTGTCTACAGTGGTTTCTGGTGTCCTCTCTCTATTTCTCTCTCTTTCTCTTTCTCTCTCTCTCTCTCTCATTCACTCTCATTTTCTCACACACACAGACACACACGTTCACATGCACATGCACGCACACACATTACAAGCCAGGCATCACTGAGTGTTCTTTCTCAAGATCGTTTTGTGAAAATTTACATTCCTTGAGATTTCCAAATTTATTCCTGTAGAGTTTATACATAGCATTCTCTTATAATCTATGGTTACAAACCGTTTTTCACATCTAATGTACACTTTTACTTTCTTGCTTAGCTTTGACAGGATTGTTTGTTTATTGCTTGTATTCCCTCCCACAACCCCCAAAGTCCACTCTTGGACTAAAGGTTTTATTCTTTGTTTTTTGTTTTGTTTTTTTGGCAGCTAGCCTGTAAGGGGATCCAAACCCTTGACCTTGGTGTTACAAGACTATGCTCTAACCAACTGAGCTAACTGGCCAGCCCTTACAAGTTTTTATTCTTTGATTTTCATTTCCTATTTCCTTAGTTTCAGCTTTTATCTTTATTAGCTCCTTCCTATTGCTGTAGATATAACTTTGATGACTACAGTTACAGATTTTTTCTGATCCGTACACATAGATCTCAGTTCGCTTACATGTGGGCATAGTAATTGAATTAAGAGATGTTGTTGAAGGAGCTGACACCCCAGGACCTTTAATAACAATAATTTTTTTCAGCTTTTAGTTATCTTTGTCATTTGGTTAGCTAAATACAGGTATGACAGGGAATACATTATTGTAAATAGCAGTGATGAGAATTGTGTACATTATGGTCTCCGAGCTCAGCCCTATTTCCTATCCCAACACTTCTTATTTCAAAACCTGACAACTCACTTGAAGATATAATTAAGAAAAATTATTACTTCTTACATTTAATGCAATTTCTTTTGAGTATGTTATTGATGGTTAAAACTATACTTTCTTTAACATGAAATTTTGCTTATCTTAGGCATTTATTTGTATTTTTGATCTTAGCTTAAAAGTAACCAAAGGTTGTCTATTGATTGTGGATGTTTTATATATAAATTATAATTATGTATAAACAAACATATAGTAGGAATTTAAAAATCCCTGCTATTCAGTTCTTGTTAAAAATGAAATACTTTGCTTACTTTGTTAGCTTTGAGCACCACCTGCTGGCTAAGGACTATCCAAATTAAGCAGGCAGCTAATTTGTGATACCCAAGCTAAAACCAGAGTTCCTATAATATCTAATGCTTTTTTTCCCTTCATTACCAAATTACTGCTATCTCAAGCATCCATTTTACTTTTGTAAACAGAATATGAGAATTGAAAGAGACATCAGAGATCTTTTCCAACCATTCATTTTTTAAGCAAGGAAACTGAGGCCCTGAAGAGACTTATTTTACTGATTACTTAAAATTCAAGTTCTCCCTAAACAATAATTTTCCTCTTCAATTCTGGCAACACTATCATAGGGTTTCTGAACTGCAACCTTATTAAACTTTCAGACCAGATAATTCTTTGTTGTGGGGGGCTTTACTTTGCATTGTAGGATGTTTAGTAGTATGCTTGGCCATCTACCCACTAGATACCAGGAGTGCACCTCACTTGCGACAACCAAAAATGTCTCCAGACATTGCCAAATGCTCCTGGTGCACAGAATCTTCCCTGGTTGAGAATCAGTGCATTATCATAGCTCCTTATAATCTGGCACAGTTTTCTAGCCAGATGTTACACCTCTAAATTAAAATACGTCCATACATTATGGTGCAGTGGCAGACAATACTAGAAATAGCTTATTTATCAAAAACATATCCATACTTCATCCACAAATGAAGGGAGAATTGAGGAGAAAAGAATGTTTACAAGAATTTCAGAACTGCTGTTGTGTTTTGTGTTTTGGATTTTTGAATGAACTAATTGAGAATGGATTGGTAAATTGTCTATAGGGAAGGGACATCTAGTCAGGTTCTCAATAGTCCAAGATATGTAGTGCATATAATATATTCCCATTTAGAAAAAAGTTGAGATATTTTAAAAAGGAAAAACTTTAGAAATTGTTTTTTTTTTTTTACTCTCTCCCACTTTGTTGTCCTGAAATGTCACTGTACCAGTTAGAGGAAAGAATTATAAAGTATCAAAATATAAACACAAAATAACAAGTATAGGCACAAATAAATAGAGAAAAGCAAAAAACTCAACTTTAGTGAATTGGCAGTTTAGATTTCATCTCTAATTAGTATAGCTGCTTGTAGAATCTTAAATTTATCAGTAACTTCTACCATGTAATTAAAAAGCAGAAACTCTTCTTTCTCATTGTTACTAATTTATGTAAAAGTTACTGTGCTTTTTAAAAAAGATATCAGTTTCTTTTGTCTTTGTTTTTGTTTTTCATAAACAGGTATATGTGTAATAGCTTTCTCTTTCTTGCAGCCATTTGTATTTACCTTTGATGATCAATAGGCACTTCGTAAATGAATTTCAGTGAGTGGATGTGTCATAAAGTAGTTTCCTAAAGTTCTATTAGTTGTTAATAAAGTATCTACAGAGTAAGTCAGCTTAAAATAGTAAAACCAGGAAAGAAACTTTATTTAAAATAAATTCAAATATCAGGACACTAACTTATATTGGCATACCACTTTATACTTTACAAAATGAATTCACAGATGTTATCTCATTTCATTCTCAAAGCAGTTTGCCCAGAGATAGACAGCTGGCAAGTAAGTGGTTTATAACCTAATAAGGGCCATGAACCTAGATCTCCTGACTAAATCAATTTTTTGTTTCCCTGTGCTATACTGCCTTTCCAACATATATATTACCAGTAAATTCTGCATCAGAAAATTTTACCTTAAGAGTCTACAGTGGGAAGACTAAAGGCAGAGTTGTGATCAGAATCCAGAAAAATAATGAGTTATATGTGTGGATTTCTTTATCTGACAATAAGGATGGTATCATTTATATCTATCAGCCCACTGTGAAAATTAGAATTATCAGTGGGACTGATCTGGTGATTTTCAGGAAGAAAAGTGTTATTTTAAAGATGCTTTGAACACCCTAGCATTAGGGAAGAGGATTATAACCCCATTTTTTTTAGCAGGAGCTATGATATGTGAGCAAATAATGTTTTCACAATCTATTTCCAAAGTAAAGCAGCATACTAATACAGGGAGTGTTAAAATTATGAAATCCGTGTTAATTTTGCTGAATAGGACAAAGCAAAACAAATTGGTTTAAAACTTTGAAGCTTGTTTTCTTTTTGATGAAGCTTTTTTTAAAAAATGATTTGCCATGCTTTTTATTAATGTACTCAGTAAAATGAAAATTTGTTTATCAGCATAGAACAGGGTGATTTTGATGACTTTAGTTTTTACAAATCTGAACTAATTTTTTTTAACCAATTCACATAGTATTTTTACAAAATATAAAACCATTATTCTTTCACAGCATTGTACAAGAGATGGTGATGAGCAACACTGGGTTTAAGAAAGTACTCTGTTCCATTGTTAAAATTTTATGCTGATCTGCTCTGATTGCTTTAAATCTTGAGCCTGAACTAAGCTGTATTGGTGACTAATTTACAACGAAAGTAATTTGTATAAAATATTTTATACTTTAAATATAAAAATTATATTTCACATTGTGTTTGATTTTTGCCTGTGCATTTAGTTATGATGTTTGCTTTCAAAATTACAGTCTGCTGCAAATCCTGAGACTCCAAACTCAACCATCTCCAGAGAGGCCAGCACCCAGTCCTCATCAGCTACAGCCAGCCAAGGCTATGTTTTACCAGAAGGCAAAATCATGCCAAACACCATTTTTGTTGGTGGAATTGATGTTAGGGTATCGTATTTATATTTCATTTACATTTTTAAATGTGGTGTGAATAATGGGATCTGGGCCCTGTTGCAAACCTGTGATTTTTTTTGTACTTCATTCAGGTTTGGAATTGGTTTTATGTTTAACCCACAAGGACTAAAAATATCTTTGACAAAGAGCTACAGGTCACTTGGGGATACTTGGGGGAGATACTTCAACATCATCAAACCTCCTTTATAATAGAATTGAAAATTTTGAATGCTGTTTTTATTCTTGAAGTTCATTTCTTTCCATAGATGGATGAAACCGAAATTAGAAGTTTCTTTGCCAGATATGGTTCAGTAAAAGAAGTGAAGATAATCACGGATCGAACTGGTGTTTCCAAAGGGTAAGTGAGACACATGTTCATTATAAATTATCAAAAATATCTGTACTCTAGCATCTGTCGAGAATCAAAGAAGACTTCATAGCTGGAATTGACACTTGTATAAGTGAAATTTGTTGCTTTGTTCATTTCTTTCATGTAAAGGGTAAGAGTTGCCAGTTCTTCTATTTAATCATTTTCCTAATGTTTGTATTTAAATATTTCCTATCTTTATTTCAGTCAAGTGGATTAATCAGTTTTACTGAAGAATTCTTTTCTTTGTACATTTCACCCATCTTGAATTTTACCCATCTTGCCTTAGATAATAAGTTAAATTCAGGGTCATACATATGAATTCTTTGTTAATGAACGGGGTTCTCAACACTGCCTTTATCTTAGCATATTCTGACATAAATCAGGTTAGGAAAGCAAAAAGCAGTAATATTTATAGAGGATCTGTTATGTACTTCTTAAAAATATTTATTGCAGTATATTATACATCTTTTATCATTATCACTTCTGTCATTTCATAGAATACTAGAAGTACTAAACCATCTATTGTATGGTGGTGATTTTATACTTCATTTATCCTTTCTAGCTATGGATTTGTTTCATTTTACAATGACGTGGATGTGCAGAAGATAGTAGAAGTAAGTAATCTTATGGAAAAATCTTACTTAGCTTATTGATGCAGTGTTTAGTGTTACTTGAGTAATGTATACAGTTTTGTGTAAAATAGAGAAAGAAAAACTTCTGTTTGAAATCCTAACTTAGGGTAATCTTACATAACTTGTCAGAACCTGTTTATTTTTGACTGAACACCTAGCTTCCTGAACTAGAGACAAGAAGTATTAGAGACAGAGTAAAAGGTTTTTGATCAAATTCCACCTGATGCTTCTTGACACTTGATTAGAGTGGTGAGGGTAAATAAGGTAGCTTCATGATGACTAATTTTGATTTGGTGTATATTTATCACTGATCTTCTCTGACAGTAGGAACTTTAGAGGATTTGGGATGTTTACCCAAGTCTTGGAAGTAAAGACTTGAAAATTAATTCTAGTTTTGTTACTGTTTTATTTTCAGTCGCAGATAAATTTTCATGGTAAAAAGCTGAAACTGGGCCCTGCAATCAGGAAACATAATTTATGTGAGTAAAAAAAGAAATTGTTCTTGTTGACATGTGTAGCTTTTCAAAGAACTGAAAATAGGCATTGTTTTCTTTCTTTCTCTTTTTTTTTTATGTTTCCAAAGGTGCTTATCATGTGCCGCCACGTCCTTTGGTTTTTAATCCTCCTCCTCCACCGCAATTTCAGAATGTCTGGAGTAATCCAAACACCGAAACTTACATGCAGTCTCCAACCATGATGAATCCTGTAACTCAGTACGTTCAGGTAAGAATTGCCTACATTCCTGTTCTCTCGTTTATTATGGAGGTAACCCTTTGTGGAATTATATCCATAAGTTTTGTAATAAGTGGTATTATAGTAGTCCTTGTTTGAATACTTTGAGTGATAGGAAACCTACTACTTTTGTTAGAAATCTCATTCTTGGGGTTCTTCCCTATATACTACACTAACAATCTGTTTCTATATAGTTTGTAACCCTTTTATCTTAGAATTGACCACTGTAGTCACTTAGACTCTATCTCTTCCTTTTTTCCCCATAACTCCTAAAATATTTGAAGGCAGCTTTTCTCTTGTGTCTGCCTATTTTATTCTTCTCTAAGATTAGCAATTTTTCTAGCTATTTTTTATTTGTGATGATTTCCAGATGCCCCCTTATATAGAATGCTTATTTATGGATACATTCTGGTTCTAGAATGGATAGGTTTATGATATATTATCTTACTATATCTATAAACTCTATAAGTTTCTGGCATATAATTTGTTTGGTTCTGGTTACTTTAATATTTAAAGTGGGATTTGGCGTACTTATTATCTCCTATTGATGATAAATAACATTTATTTTTTTCTTAGCTCATTTTACTTTCTTCAGTTTAAAGACATTTTCTTTGCTGGAAAAGAAAGAAACAATAGAGAGATAGTTCTGTGGTGTCTCTCGTTTGTTTACATTTTCTATTTACCTGAAATGTAGGATATATCTTTTTTTATTTTTATTGCTGTAAACATGGCTAGGAAAAAAGCCCTATTTGTTCCTAACATTTACTGTGAGCCATTACCTGTTCTGGATGTATTCTTCTATGCTAGTACCCATATGATTTCAATCAATAGGTGTTTATTGAAACATGTAAGACATTGTACTATCTCTTTTACAATTTTGGATTATATACTACTCTTAATTTTTAGATATTAAATATAGAAAAATCCATGAAGTCTGTAGGAAGACTATATAATACCCCATAATATTGTCAAAGGAGTGCCCAAACTGTCTAAAAGTATTTTTACAAAGAAATAGCAGATGGAGTAATTTAATTTACATGGAAATCTGTCCTAATAGAGTCTTATCACCAGTGTAAGAAAAAATTTCTGGGTGGGGATAAGTGTACAAATAAGATAAACTTAGGCTGGTGTTATTAGTTACTTCTCTCATTATTTATCCCTTCCTCCTCCCTGCCCAAAAGGTTAACATTTAACAGAGAATATTTGTTTCTTCATGAAATCAGACATTCATTTAGAATCCTGCATTGTTGTACCTAGAAAATAATTAAGATTTCTTAATTTGTATGTTTTTGTTATATTGGTGATAATATTCCTTCCTTCCTTCTAATTTTTAAAAACATTTACTTTGTTAATACATTATTTCTATAAAATTTATTTTCAGGCATATCCTCCTTATCCAAGTTCACCAGTTCAGGTCATCACTGGATATCAGCTGCCTGTATATAATTATCAGGTAATTTAAGAGGGAACAAAAATGGTTTACTTTGTAATATTTTGAGGTCTTTAATTAATTTATATAAATTTTCCAAATATTTTGTCATTTGAACTAGTGAAGTGTGCCTAATATTTTTTTAAAAATTTAGAATTAGTCTAGAATTAAGGCCTCTATATTCTTTAGAAATAATAGAATGATATTTTGACAGGAATGTACCTAGCAAGAACTTTTCTAAGATTTGGTATTCCCTTCTATATTTCAATATGTATCCTTCCATCTTTGTTGTCAAGGAGCTGAAACATCCAAGCTGACTTCCATACATTTTTCCAGGGGGATAGGTTGACATAAAGTGATTGCTTAATTCTTAGAAAACAGAATTCTAATTATATTTGATAGTGTTTATTTTAGCTGGCTGCTACAGGATAGTAGTTCTCTGAATTTCTTCCCATAGATATGACCGTAACTATGACCCATGACCATATCTATATAATAAATTCAAAGAACCATCTTTGAGTTTTTCTGAACACCAGCTCCAGAAAATTGAGAAAAAAGGGTGGCTGGTTGGCTCAGTTGGTTAGAGCACAGTGTTATAACATCAAAGTCAGGGGGTTCAGATCCCCATACTGGCCAACCACCAGAAAAAAAAAGACCCAGAAAATTGAGAAAAAGGTGGGGTTTATATATGGAAGTAAATAAGAACCTCAGGTATTAGAAACATGAAGTACTTCTTTCTTCCATTCTGGTTTTTTTTTTTACATTAAAATACTAAATTAAAGAAGCTAGAATGATAAATACTTTAATATTGTCTATCTTATAACTTTGTGATAATGTGTAGGAATATTTGAATAATATATGTTTCCTTCTTTTTAAGATGCCACCGCAGTGGCCTGCTGGGGAACAAAGGAGTTATGTTATACCTCCGGTAAAGTGAAATAGCCAAGCATATACTTCCTGCTCTTTATTTTGAAGTATTTTCTCATTTTGTTATGTATTTCTTGACCTTTTGCCATATGTATGCCTATAAATATTTTTAAATGCCCCTTTATAGTATGTTGAATTTTATTAATTTCTTATTAATCCAATTATATACTCCCATGGAAGAAATTGTGCATTTTTGTTTCTCAGGTTGTTTTTGTGTGTTTAAGCAGTGGCTGCTCTGCCTATGATAAATGCACAGTTACTTGTTGATAGAATGTATAATCCAATAAAGGTAGTATTAGCATGGATTTAGAATTAGCATTCAGTCTGCCTAGAATCTGCCTGTAGTTTTGCTACCTATAAAAAAATTTGTTGGAGAGAAACAAATGTTTAGCTGTTAATACTGTTAAGAAAAGGAATAAAACAAAAGGGGGTATTACTGCTAAAACACCCGAGCTTTTCTTAACTTCTATATTTCATCAAGATTGGATATTTGAAGGATATAAAAATTCCTGGGCACTCTCTTGTTACATAGTACATATTAGGATTTCTTTTTCTTAGAGTCTTTCTAATTCCGAGTATGTCGAAGCTTAGAACACATCTTAAAATAAAAGGCTGCCTTATTTTATTTCAACTATTCGGTTTAAAACAAAGTTTCTGAAATAATGTAATTGAATTTTAACACAGTGCATGTGAAAACTTTTAATATCAACTCACCATTTTGAAGAAAAGATTGCTTTTAAATGTGTGTGTGTCTCTTTAATAACACTTTTATCATTTGAATTTTAGGCTTATACAACTGTTAACTACCACTATAATGAAATTGATTCAGGAGCTGAAGTTTTGTCAAATGAATGCTCAGTTCATGAAGCTACTCCATCCTCTGGAAATGGCCCACCAAAGGCAAACATCTAATTTTGTTTATTAATATTTATATTTCTTTTTTTCACCAAGTTTTAATAATGGTCCTTTGAGAAGCAAGTATCTTTGCCCAAATTTCAAGATGGAAGCCATAAATTACAGAGTTTAAGTAATTGAGTAATATCCAGCAGTCAATGTAAAGGCTGATGAAATTTCAGATACCCCAAACTTTCAGTGTATACATACAGTTTCTGATATAGCAGTCCTTTCCTCTCTTCCAATTCTGTTGTTTTTTGGGGTTTCTTTAACCACACTTTTAGTAAGCATTGTATTAATATGATTTGGCAGAATGCAGTGTTCAGGTTTTCTCAAGGATTCCAATCTTCAAAAGAGGGATTATTATAATTTATACTATATTGTCTTTTGAAATTTAAACATTTCCTTAGCTAAATAGTATAACACATTATCTATGGTATTTTCTCTGTAACATTATATATGGCAGCAGCTCTCAAGAATGGTGGGGAGTAATTATTTAAATACTGAAATAGGCAGAGTTATTTATGTTATCTCATTTTATCATTAGAGTAGATTTCTTTAATAACAGTACTGTTACTCTTCAATTCACATATGTTCTGTTGAATGGATGGAAGAGTGGAAATAGTTGATGTACTGGGAATAAGCATAACACTGAAGGATTCGCACTGAATTGTGTGAACTTCATCCATGTAAAAATATGTGTAAAACAATGTTGAGAACTACCGAACCATGGGTAAAAAATCCCTCAATTTAATACACGATTTAAAAAATTTTTTTAAATATTAAAATAGCTTACAGTATAATTTCATTATCTGTTTTTATCCTGAATATGTTTTTTGAAATATTGGAGTTCACTTAGAGTTTTAATAAGTACAGCTTTTTTAACCAGTATTCTATCACTGAGGTTCTAAAAGATTTCTTTAATTTGGCAGAAAACTTATATAATCAGTGATATGTGATAAGAATTATGAATTGCATAAGAATTTTTTAAAAATAAGTGTTCATTAAACTTTCCAAAAAAGCTTGCTAACAGTGAGCAAAAGGAGAAATAGTGTTTAGGTTACTGAAAACTTCTGTGTTTCAGAAATCTGTGGACCGAAGCATACAGACAGTGGTATCTTGTCTATTTAACCCAGAGAACAGGCTGAGAAACTCTCCTGCTACTCAAGATGACTACTTCAAGGTATGTGTACCCCAGGAAACCATTGTGAGTGGGTTTTACCTGGCAGTGTATTTTATGTTGCTCAAACCTTGATATACCAAAGTTGTCTTCAGGGAGCAAACCTCTAGCAGAAGCTTATAATTTAAAGAGTATATGAGAGAAGACAGTTGAAAGAAAATATTGTCTTGACCAAATAGTAAAAGAAAATTTCAGATATAGAAAGCATAACTTTTATATGTGGATATTGGACTAAAGAGAAGAAAAGAAATTGATTACTCAGTTGATATACTTGAACAGTATGGAGGGAGAAAGCAGGGATAAAGTGAAGCAGTAAAAAGAGCTGAATAGAAAGAATTGGAAGTTGATTCAGAGTTGGTGAAGTGGAAGAGAGTATGGCTGGTTGAATTAAAGAAAGATCTGGTTTCTGATCTTGCTTATATCCACCTTGGACAGATCACTTAAATTTTATTAAGGCTCCAGATTTTACAAGTCTAAAATGAGGTGCAGGAGGACTAAGGGTCTTTAAGGTTCGTTTAGTTCTGAGTCTATGAATATGAAAAATAACTAACTAGTCAGTCCAGTGGGAGAGGAATATTATGTTTAGTAAAGGGAAGTTTTGGTTTTTTATTTTAAGTAATAGGTTTATTGAGATTTGTAATTCAAATACTGTACAATTCACCCATTTAAAGTGTAAAATTCAGTGAATGATGCTTACTACTTTCACAGAGTTGTACAACAACCATAACCACAGTCAATTTTAGAATATTTTAATCACCCCTAAAATAACCACCCTTATCCATTAGCAGTCACCCCTCATTTCTCCCCAGCTCTTCTGGCCATAGGCAAGCATTAATTTGCTTTGTTTTTCTAAGGATTTTCCTTTTCTGGACATTTCATGTAAATAGAATCATACAATGTGTGGCCTTTTGTGACTGCCTTTTTTCACTTAGTGTAATGTTTTCAAGGTTCATCAATGGTATAACATGTATCAGTACTTCGTTTCTTTTTATTTATGGATATATACTACATTTTGCTTATCTGTTCATCAGTTGATAGACATTTGGGTTGTTTCCACTTTTTGGCTATTGCAAATAATGCTATGACATTGTGTACAAGTTATCGTGTGGACATATGTTTTTACTTCTCTTGAGTATATAATTAGGAATGGAATTGCTGAATCATATGGTAACTATGTTCAGCCTTTTAAGGAACTGCCAAAATTTGTCCAAAATGGCTGCACCATTCTATATTCATAGGGAAGTTTCTAATCATCACCTTGTGTCTTAAGATGGGAAAGAGAATAGCTTTTTATTATCTGTGAATGGTCATAGTTTGAAGCTTAAATCCTCTTTGGAGGGTATGTACTAAGGACCAATAATGCAGAAGAGTAATGGATTAAGTTCTTACCATCTTTGCAAAAGGAAGTAAACATATTTATTTAAAGTTGACATTTGTTCTCTTGTTGCTTCATTCAACACAGACACTAAAGTTCATAAAGGAAAGAACTGGAGTTGTATGACAGCCTACCTTCCCCAAAATTCTAAGGGTTACGTAGGCAGTACTTAAATGATTTACTTGCAAAGCAGAAAATAGTCTTTAAACTTGAGTTTTCACCTAGTATTAGGCAAAATCCTTCCTTTGAACTTCCAGAGTTTTCTGCTTCTCTGGGCTAGGAGTTAGAAGTTGGCGGCCTGCTGTTGTCTGGCATCCAGACCTATTTTAATTGGCTACATGTTGTTGTTTTGATTTAATTTGAATGCATTTACTGTTTCCATGGTAAATTCCACTTTGTTGGCTTAGTTCTAGCCCCTTTGTAATCCTGTTTCCTATCTGACCTCTGCAGATATATGATTTTGTGACCACTTTTCTAGGATTTCACCTAAATAGGATATTACTGTGTTGACAGATTATATAACTTCCAGAAGTCACCCTTCTTTATATGACAGCTGAATTTAATCCCTAGGAAAAGGACACAGTTAAGCTGCGTAGAGAAGAAAATACTATTATGTTATTACTGGTTTACTCAGCCCCATTTCTCACTGTAAGGCCTCACTTCCTTCTATCTGCACATCCATAGACAACATAGAGTGAAAGGAAAAATTTGCATGTATTTTAAATTTCTTTCTTTATTTCCTAAAGGATAATATGTCTTCACAAGTTAAGGATATGCCAAAACTTACATCTTTTAACCTAAAATCGTAGGGTTTCAGATTGAAGTGGAATGTTATTCTCAAGCTATGATTTCTATCAGATACAGTTCAGATGAATAAAAACAACATTTTAAAAAATTGCATACATTTTCCACCAGCTGTCTTTGGGACATAAGTCATCTTTGCCAAATTATTAATTTAAAAGTACATAAAATGATATTGATTCTAAGTCCTCCATTTATGAATTTATTGGGATTTCTTTTTTAACTAAACTGTTTAATAAAACTAGCCATCTTGGTGCATTTTTTATGCCAAAGTTCAGGAATGCTTACCAAAAAGGATTATTCTTTTTTTCATTAATTTAAACCCCAAATAAATGCTTTAAGTATTTTGCAGCTGTCTCAGGTCATAGTGGTAAGAGGAAATTGTTAATGAAGTAAAAAGGACTGTTTCTGTCTTTTCTAGGATAAAAGAGTGCATCACTTTAGAAGAAGTCGGGCAGTGCTTAAATCTGTTTGATTTTCTCTGCTAACTTTCTAGCCTCATGGGAAGTTGCTGGTTTTGAATATTAAGAAGAAGCTGAAAGTTTTTCACTATTATAGGAATTTAATTCTTAATTTGATAAATCACACAGATTTTCTGTACAAGTTATTTTAGATTGTCTAGTTTTATTTTACATTGAAACTGCTCTTTATTAGATGTTTAATTAGAAACTGGTTCCATGTTGAATGTATAGTTGAAAGTAAAAAATAATTAAGACTGAAAGGAATAACTTTAAGATTTATCTGCAGAACTTTTTAAAAATTGAAATAGGCATTTTAAGAGTTTAAAGCAAGTACTGATTTTCAAAAAAAAATAAAAAACCTGTTTTGAAAGGTCAGAATTTTGATGGTTTGAATACAAGCATTTCACTTCTCCAACAAGTACCTATGAATAGTACAATATTGTGCTTTGTGTTTATGATTTGTCTAGAAACTTACCACAAAAACAGAATTTTAAAAACTGCATTTTTAATCAGTGGAACTCAATATATAGTTAGTTTTACTGAAGACTTTCTTATCTAAACCCAGTAAAACAGATTCTAAACAAACAGTCCAATCAGTGGGTCTCAGTTTATCTAAAATATTTTATCCTTTATCTTGAATCCACACATCTGTATCCTATTTGATTGGGATGGTAATTAGGATAACTAAAATTCTGGGCATAATTTTTTTAAAGAATCCAAGGCAAACTAAACTTTACTAGGTACATAAGCTTCTCAGTTACCATTCTTAATTTTTTTTCCTTCAAATGCTGATCTCCATGGCTGTATCTTAAATTGTGTAAAATATTGATATTAAAGAACACTAAAACTTTTTTATGTCACTTAAAAGTTAATCAGAGTATCTGAAAGGAATTTTTTTTTAAAAAGCATTAAAATATTAGCTATTTGTTATAGAGTAAATATATTTTTATTTTTGTTTTTCGGCCTATTATATTTCCTTTTGTAAAGTGAAATATGTCCAGAAGAGCCAAAGTAGGTAGCTTTGGTGTTTCTAAACCACAAAAGTTGTTTCATAAGCATATACCAGGAATGTGCTAGAGTCAGAGTTAATCTTTGTGGGTTAGCTAGTCTCCTAATGGGATGTTGTACATCATGACAAACAGCTAGAGCACGAGAGCCCCTTTGCTGTACCTAGTCTTGCTTTTCCAGTTTGTATTACCATTCTTCCAGAAGGTTTGCTCCTAGAACTGGTGATGTAAAGAAGGGCAGTATTAGTACGAGCAGTTCTTGCACTAAGCCTTTGAAAGGTACCTTTCTAAAAGAAACAGACGTATCAGCATCATTTGACCTGCCATGGACATGAGTTTAAAGTGGCTTCCTGGCATTCCTTCCATTAGCCTCTTCTCTAAAACGTGAAGATTCCATTTATCCCTAACCTGATGGAGCTATTATGGGCCATGTTACCAGTGCCCATTGTGGTATATGATTCCTAATAATTTTCATTCTGAATCTAAAAGGAAGAGTCTTTTAACGTAAAGATCCCCAAAAGGGCTTTATTACACCTCAGAATTTGAAAGTGCCCTGAAGTTTGTCCTTTTAAAAATTCTCTGTACTTTTTTAGGTGCTATAACATTCTTACATGTATCTTTCTGTGATTAAATCTCCAGCTTACAAATGACACATAAATTCTAAAGAGCCAATTCTAATTATCCTAATATGACCATAAGGAAAAGTAAGGAAACTTCTATTCATCTGCTATTTTGTTGGAGTGAAGTATTTAAAAGAGTAGAAAGAAGAGACAAAGTCCTGAACCTTTCAAAATGGAAAATTAATTTTAGACACTAAAATATGTTACTGTTAACTATTGCTGATACTGTCTTTACATAAATAAATAAAGAAACTTTTTTCAAAAGTGTTTTTGACCTAGTTATTCATGTCATATCTAAAGAAACGGTGGGGGGTTGGCTGAGAAGTATGACAAGATTTAGATCCTTGAAATTCAATGGTATAAATATTGTTCAATTTATTGGTTGGGCACACTTAATTTATAAAAGAAAATTTTGGTATATTGTATTTTTGCTGCTTTCTCTTATGAAATTAAGAGATGAATTTTCATGAGAGAATATCTCTATGTTGAGTTGGAAATGATTAACAGTGGGTTCCACTACATTGCATCAATAGAACAGTGACTAGTAGAAATGCTGGAGAACATATCTGACTGCAGTCTCATGGCCAGCATTCTTCTATTTTAGACCCTATGAAACATTTTTGTCTACTGCATACTTTGGCCCAATCTCTCTCAGCCTTTTATTTTGGGTTGTTGCAGTTGTCTAATAGAGCTTAGATTTTTCATATTGTATTTACTTCATATGAAGATGTACAAATATCAATACTTACCACCTCTTCCAGTTCTAGTACTCTCAATTCTATAAGCTGAGGCCATGGGAGAGGAAATTCTCCCCTCAGGACACTTGCATGCTATATTTCATCAATTGGTAAGCACTAATTAACTGATTCATTACCAGAAAATTGGTTTATAACACTAAGGTTCTGCAAGATACACAAGAGTGCTTTCTGAATCACCAAAGATTAAATGTTGATGTTTAGTGTGTAATAGCTCGCTGAAAATTAGTAATCCCTAAATGTGCATATGCATATGTATGTATGTATAGGTATGCATATATGTGTGTTTGTATATATGGTTACATACATTCTGACCATTATCCAGAATATTTGGTTGTCCCTGACCAAGCTGAAAAGTTTATAATACCTTGAGATCTCAGAACTAGACTACATACATCTGAAAACAGTGGCTTTAAACCTGCTTGGTGATATTTCAAGCATATTTGCAGTTGAGAATTACCACAAAATTCTCAACACAAAACCAAGTCTTTGGGATTGAAAAATTCCATACAGCACTTTTTTGTAAAAAGTTGAAGTTATGGCAAAATCATGAGACTCAAGGTTGGTCACGTCTGTAAATATATTCTGCATTTTAAAAAATATTACTTTTGTAACTGTTTAAGATAATTACTCAATATTTTAGCACCATTATTGTACACAGTTCACTGAAATTGTAAAACTCCTCTACCCACTTCTCTGAAATTCTCTCGGTTGTCTTTAAAGGTAAACTCATAAAAATGGGCTGCCACATTGCTTAATCGCCTTGCCTGCTTTCATTGCTGTCATTTGAGGGTAATAAGGAGCAGCAGCAATAAGGCAGCGTGCCACTCTGCTTTCACAAAGATGGCAATAGAGAGGGTGGGGAAGCATAAGGGGAGAAAAACAGCAGTGTTTTCCATTGACCAACCCTTGCAAATAGAGCCAGCTGCTGAGCATGATCATTTGGAATCCCTGAAACACTTCTTCTAGATGAGGATTGCTCCTGTACATATTTTGATAACTGTGTAATCTAGCCCTTCCCAGCATTATGTGTAATATGTCTCTCTCTGTGTTACTGATTCTTCTGAGCAATTTCTCACCACCCATCAAAGACTCTGAGTTTTCCATCTGTAGACAGTACATTTGGTGGTAGAAAACAATAAACATAAGAAGTTCAAACTATAAACATGCGTTTTTGAATGCTCATGCAAAATATTCAATCTGCATAGCAAAGAAATGATAGGTAATTCTGCACTGCATTTAGAGTTAAAAACATCTGTCCAATATGGCTGTAGCTGTGGGCCAATCCCAAGAAAATGCAAAAAATTGTCTCCTGGTACAGAAGTGGAAACTACCACTGTACAATTAAGCTCTATGGTAGCTATATTTTACATTTTTAACTGGTCTGAAACAAAGTTTTCTAGTTGAGTCTCTAGTTCATTTTCCCAAGGCTAGGCTTTGTATCTTATGTGCACCTCCATTAAGGCCGCATGCCAGGGATGTTCCTCTTCTCACATATACAACTCTCAGATACCAGTTCACTAGGTCTTTAACAATAGAATAAATGCTTGCATGACTGGGGTAGTCAGGTCATGAAAGCTCTTTGTAAATTTGAAGCAATAGTAACATTTCAAGCAGTTTAGAAAGTTGGAGATTTTATAATCCTTAAACAGTTCTGCTTTACAGAAAACAAATCTAGCAAAATAGAAACCGATACACTCACCAAGGTTATAACCATGTTTAGATCAGCCCAGTATTTTATAGGGCAAGTTTACTCAAAAATGCCAACCTCACAGGGAAGTCAAAGAGCATCAGAATCATCTGTGATGCTTTTCAGAGAGGTCGACTCTTGAGCCCCCTTCTCAGATGCTTTCAGAAGGAGAGAATGGAACTAAGGCTACCAGAGGTGGGAAAGGGGGAGGGGGAGGGAGGTTAGTGAGAAATCGGAAAAAGGCCACAAAAATGATTACATTGTGTAATGTTGAATATACTAATTATCCTGATTTGAGCATCACATATTGCACACTGCACACAGGTATTGATACTCATTCAACACAGTTGATGGAGTTTGGATGTGCTGTCCCCTCCAAAACTCATGTGGAAATTTGATCTCCAATGTGGCAGTGTTAGAAACTGATTGAGTCATGGGGGCGTATCCCTCATGAATGGATTAATGCTCTCCCTGGGGGAGGGGGGATTAATGAGTGAGTTCTCGCTCTATTAGTTCCTGCGAGAGCTTGTTGCTTAAAAAGACCCTGGCACCTTCTCTCTCTCTCTTGCCTTCTCTCTCTTGCTTCCTCTTGCCATGTGATCTGCTTGTACCCGCCGGCTCCCTGCCACTTGCAACCATGAGTAGAAGCAGCCTGAGGCACGTGCCAGATGCATCTGTCCCAGAATCATAAGCCAAATAAACCTCTTTCCTTTATAAATTACCCAGTCTCAGGTATTTCTGTTATAGCAACACAAAACGGACTAAAACAAAAGTATGCCACAGGTATGTACAATCGTTTCAATAAAAATAAATTAGATTAATTACATAAAACAACAACAACAAAAAAACCTATGTTGGGTCCATTAGGACTCTCATAAGGGATTTGGTTGGCTTAATTCATCTTTCCTTGTCAAGTGTGTGCCCAGGTATGCCAGTTGTCCATGGGCAAGTGCGACTCATGAAGAGGCTGAAAAGTGAATGAAGTCTGAAAACCAAGACTTGTGGCCAGAAATGAATGGCCCAAGAGAGCGACTACAGAGGCAAAGTTGGATTCCAAAGCCAAGGGTGAGGGACTAGGCTTGGCTGGGAGCGGGCAGAGTGGACAGTGTAGAAGCAGAAATACTGTACTTGCCTCCTGGAAGGGAAAACCACTTGACAAATTTTAAAAACATTATTATCCATAGTTTTTAGAAAAGCATGGCCTGTCATTGCTTTTTTTCCTGCCTTAGAATTAACTAATATTTCTTATATCCTTAAGAAGAATGATAGTAACAAATCAATATCAGAAGTAATGTTTAAAGATCAAGTTCCAGAGACAGTCTTGGGCATTTGATATCCATATTATTTTTGTATGTGTGTTTCTGTTTTAAAAATTCACCCAGTTCACACAAAGGTGTATAAAAATAAGTATGCCTTTAAAGAATAATAACTACGAGACACACTCACAAGTGCCTGAGTTAGCTTAATAAATGGGACACTCCATTAATTTTAGAAATTCTCTATGTGCCATCCCTCATCACACCCTCTCCCTCCCCAACAAGTGGTAAACACTAAACTGAATTTTGGTTTTATCATCAGTTAAATAATTTGTTTCTGTTCACATGGTTTTGAACTTTACAAGGACCTATACTGCATATTGCTTTTTGGGCTGCATCTTGTTAGACTCATCCACATTGACTTGGAGAATATTTTCACTGCTTTTTTTTTTGGTCTTTTTTGTGACCGGTAAGGGAAACGCAACCCTTGGCTTGGTGTCGCCCGCACCACGCTCAGCCAGTG